GCAATTTATTTAAGTGAGAGCGACTCAGAATCATTTACTCACGGGAAAGCCGAACGCGAATTTCCGTTTGATATTTTTGACGAAAGTTTATTTGAAAAAGGAGAAATCAACGCCGATAAAAAATTAAGAAACGAAACTAAAGTACGAGTAAGTCGAACTCCTAGTAACGTGTCGCAACGCGGAGAATTCTTGCTTACATCTTACGACAGTAGTATTTTTGATCCGAGCGAATATCAGGACATGTTGCGAACACCGCCGAACGGTGTCATGGATGTGTCCGAGGGTGCCATCGACCGCGAGATTGACCGTCTTCACGGTACCATAGCTTGCGACAATATTCGACTCGTGGAAGTCGATGTACATACACCACCCCCTAATCGCGATATAGGAACAGATAACCCTCGCGATATTAGGCGATACACAAATAGACGCGTTGAAGAAACCGAGGTGCGCGAAACATCTAATTATAGGGAGGCAGGCATAGAAAACCTATGCTGCGCGAAATAATGACAGGCACTAAAAATTTTTTAGTTGTTTATTTCTCGGTAAATCAATATGAATTGGCAACAAACAGGTATAAAACAACAGAAAAAACTTTATTTGTCATATTGTCGTGAATCATGGCATATTTGAGAAATTATTTTAATATAATCCGTTTGTATTTTCAAACGAAGAGAATGCAGCTCTCGCAGCTAGGGAAATCAACGGATATATCCAAATGTGCGACATCCAGACGCGAATGTTATCCGTGGTGCGGAGATTTCGAGAACTTGGCATGTTATGCCTGTCCCCTTTAAAATTCGGTTATATAAATCACGTCGGCATATCAGAAAAAACTTTATAAAATTGATCATTTATTGAAAGTCGTGAATGATTATGGCATTATATTTTATTGGACAAATTATATTTTACGTATATAATGCTCTCCGTTTGTATCGATCTCATGATCTCATCCACCACCAGGCAAAATAGCACCGGTGACAGTGGATCCCCCTGCCTGACGCCTCTGCCCGCTTTAGAGAGCTCTGACCTGACACCGCGCACTTCAAACACCGTGCTGCTGTTCGCATAAATGCGCCCGATATAATCGATAAGGCCGTGAGGCAAGCCCAACGTGCGACATCCAGACGCGAATGTTATCCGTGGTGCGGTGAGATGTTTTCGAGAAACTGACAATGTTATGCCTGTCCAAATTGAAGGACGTCCTCGTAATGTAAGAAATCCGAAAGTGGAAGAAAACGTGATGGCGTGGGTCGAAGCCGATCCTCGAACAAGTACTCGAGTAATCGGGAAAGAAATGGGGATTTCGCACGTCCTTGTGCATAAAATTTTAAAAGAAAATAAAATCCACCCATACCACTTTATTCGAGTGCAGCAATTGCTTCCACGTGACCATCCACCACGTCAAAGGTTTGCCCGGAATTATTTAAAGGCAGTAAGAGAGAATCAATTATTTCCTTGTCGTGTACTATGGACTGACGAATGCACGTTAGCGCAAGATGGAACATTCAACTCTCATAATTATCATTATTATGGCGTTGAAAATCCTTTTTTGACGTGGGATAATAATTCTCAATATCGATTTAAAGTCAATGTTTGGGCTGGCTTGATCGATGATGAGCTGGTAAATAACTTTTACATAAAAATATTTTAATAAATTTCAAGTTAGTAATTTTAGTAGCATGTAATGTTTAAAAATAATGTAAGTTATTTAATTACGATAAACTGTCAGATTTGCGAAAAAAATTGTAGAAAACTTAATCATGATTTAGTTTTGAAATTTAGGCCTTCTTGAAATTTATAATAATACATATTTTAACATTTTGCCATTTTGTAGTCTTTCTGTTGTGACTGGAGATTTACGTATTTATTTTTGGTTTAAATTTTAGCTTTTCATTTAAGCTTTGCCATTACATAGGAGCGTCGAGCGTCGAGCGTCAAGCTTCAAAAACGCGTGCGCAACGCCCTTGCGCATGATTCAGAACTGGCAGATTTCAGCATCTTGACGCTTATTACAATGTCTAGTGATAAAAGTTTAATAGACGCTATAAAGGTTAATATGTTATATTATATTCTACATGGAAAAATATATATTAATGTATATAATATATAATAGATATTATTAAACAGTAGATATATTATAGAATTGCGCAATTGGCACCGTATATTACAACTTAACCTAACATGAAGAAAATAATTTGCACTTTTTTATAAATATAACATGAGTATTATCTATAACAGTGTACTCTTTGTATAGGAATCGGATTTAACATGTGGAGTGTGCATATCAAAAGTTAATAAATACAAGATTTTTAATCATCAATGCATGAAAGATTGGTATAGTATCACAATTAATGGAGATACTAAAATGTTTTATCCTACTAATGGTAAGAACTATAATTAATGCAAGTATACGATGATAATCCACTCATTTTTTTAGGTATTATAATTGTAACTAGTACTATTGTGATATTGCAGAATAAGGACAATATTTTGAAAAAAATGTGATGAGGAACAACTTGTATTACTACAAGATAAATCAAAGAGCTTATCATTTGACAACAAAGGAATAGACGAAAGAGTGGTTAAATCCACAGATGATTGCTTTATTGTAGAAGAAGATCGACAATCAATACTGTGCTTGACAACAGACAAAAGTATATTAGAAGAAACGTTAATCGAAGAAGTCAGAAAAAGACCTCCTTTGTATGATTATACATTGCCTTTGTCTGTTCGTGGCAGATACAAACTTGCAGAGTTATGGAAAGAAATTTTTAATGCTCTTAATGGTACCAATTTTCACATAAACCTAAATTATAAAAAAAAATATTGATGTTGGCTGTGATTGAGTCAGCACTACAAATGCTTCAAAGCATTTCTCTTTCTCTTTTTTCCTTGGAATCTCTAAAGCTAAAAGAGAAAACAAATGTTTCAAAGCATTTGTACGCCAATTCGATCGTAGCTATTAAATATTTTTAAAGAATGTTTTTATAAATATTTTAGGTCGTATCAGTCCTGAAGATGCTAAAAAGAGGTGGAAATCACTTAAAGACACGTTTAGTAAAGCAGTGGCTGAAGGAAAAAAACCAAGTGGGTCAGCGAGATCAAATTCACAAAAACCATGGAAACATTTTGAAGCAATGTCCTTTTTACGTTCAGTTTCTACAAGCAGAAAGTATATCACTTTTTACACATGTGTACAACTTTATTTTACATACTTTATTGGAAACATACTTTATTTTACAGCTCCATTTCTAACCTTACGACTCAAAGTATCGAGTCCAACAATCTTTTTGAGAACAGCTTAGACAGCAATGAACAACATGAAAGTAACGAAGGTAGGTTTAATAGTTATACATCTTATCTATTATTTGCTGACTGACCGATTGTATTATAGAAAGTGTTTACGTATTAATGAACAGGCATTATAGATACAGTCAAACAATCTCTTTGCAGATGAGCTTTATGTTAAACCTAGTACTAAACGAGCTAAAATTAACAATGATTTAAGTGCATCAATGAATCGTATAGCTGAAGCATTTTGTAATAAAGAAATGCCTGTTATAAATCTTCCAAAGCCACCTGAAATGGATGCATTGGATGGTATGTTTATTTATATAAAACAAAAATTGCTTAAACTGAATAAAAAACACAGGATACACTTTTATTAACATTTCTACAAGATATTACTAAGGAAGAACAAAATGAGGGTGAATAATTTGTCATGATATATATTGATAATTGCTATGTTCCTATGTTATTTTTGTTTTCTTGTTCTTGCTTCATTAATATAATTGAAACGTACAATTATTTGTTTGAATTACATTACTCTTTTATTTTGTTATAATATAATTTTTTTGTGTACCTAATAATTTTATAAGATAAATTAAGATGATGTTAGTAACAGTTCTTTTTAACTTCATTTAAAAATATATTGAGACGTTACTTTATATGTATAATTTATTGTCAAATGTTTTATAACGTGTTATTTTTGTATAACATTGATTTCTAATATTTATTATATTTACGAAGCATTGTGTGTTTCTCTTTAGCATAATAACATTATGTTTGGTATTCAATAAACTATTTACGCGTATCGCCCGGTCAATCTACCCGCTCGAATTCGGGTACCCGCACATATATATGTCAGGTCCTTCGTCGTTGCCTTCGGAGGCTTCCGTTGCCGATCGCGACCCATCGTGCGCGGTCCCCGCTAATACGAATCAGAATCGTCTCAGAGACAACGAGAGACACACGTGCGGCCGACTTAACCGCTATTGTATACCATTATACGCTGTATTTCAATTAAAGCATTTATACTTTGTATCTCGAGTGCGGTCACTACCTTCTGAGTTTTTCAATAAATATAAGCAAGTGAGAGAGAAACATTCTCGGTCGTATATTCGTGAAGCACTCATTCCACGACAACATACGACGGGCACACGCCCGATAATTCAACTTACGTACAACCCGTACATTTGGTCCTTCGAGCCGGATTCATCCAAGGAATTCCGCAAGCTCAGTCAAGGTAGTGTCCAACAAACTTCTAGAGGATATAACACAAAGGGCGCAAGCCAAATTAAAAAAGGCCAACGTATTGAGTTACCACGTACGGTATCGGCCTACGGAATTTCCCATACATCGGCAGACGTCCTAACAAAGGAGAGGTCAGGAGCGGCTATTTTACTCGTTGGCGAGTACAACGATTGCCCCGCATTGGCGACAACGGCATAATTCCAACGGACGGGCAATCGAACCAGCAGTCACGGCGATCCTTGTCGGCCATATTCGACAAGACGAACGACGCATCGAGGGCCAAACAGCGCATTGAGACGACGACACCCCCCCTCCTCTCCGCAGGACGACCGACAAAGGATTCCCGAGCGTTCACGCGTTTTCTTTCTTCAATAAGAAATAAATGTAAGGTAAGGGTAGCTATCTAGTGACGAATACCAACCAGATTCGAATAATACGTGTGTCTCAATTCAATTAGTTTTAAAATGTCTAATACAGAAAATCTCGCGGTACTTAAAAGACAACGCGCTATGATCAAGGGATCCTGCACGCGAATAAAACATTACGTCGAGACAATTACTGCTATCAATACCTCGACAACGGCTCAACTTGAGGAGCGCAAATTAAAACTAGAACATTATTGGGCCGAATACCACACTGTACAGACGCAAATAGAAATTTTAGAAGAAGCCGAAGGTAACGATCGGGCTGCGTTCGAGGATGCATTTTATGCCGTATCCGCTAAAATCAGGGAGTTATTAAGCCCTCCCACGCACTCGCGCACTGCCGCTGTTTCGCCGGCAACGCTTTCGGAAATCTCGGACGCAACTTCCCGCGTGCGCTTACCTAAATTGAATTTACCGACATTTTCGGGGAAATATGACGAGTGGTTCCCGTTCTTCGATACATTCACGTCGGTCATACATACAAACGCGTCTCTCAGTTGCATACAAAAGTTTCAATATTTAAAGGCCTCTCTCACAGGCGATGCGAGCAGCGTAATTAATTCTTTAGAGATTTCGGACGCGAATTACAATGCAGCGTGGAATCTTCTCAAAGAGCGGTACGATAACAAACGGGTAATCGTGCAAAATCATATCAAGGCCATTATAGAATTACCTTCCATGACAAGGGAAAATTATACCGAGTTAAGGCAAATCGCGGATGGCGCGACAAAGCACATACACGCGTTGCAAGCTCTAAAGCGACCCACCGCGTATTGGGACGATATTTTAATACACGTGCTATGCTCGAAATTCGATCCCCTCACACTACGCGAGTGGCAATCTTCGCTTACGGGTAACGAATTACCAACATCCAAACAATTCTTCGATTTTATCACACGACAGTGTCAGATGCTCGAAGTCACAAACAAATCTAGCAACGTCGCGAACGTCAAGGACGGCACTGCCAAGGCACACGCCAAGCGTCAAACAGCATGCGCAGCTACCGTCAAGTTAAAATGCAACTACTGTCGAGGGGAGCATTCCATTTATTACTGTAAGAATTTTCTGGTACTTCAGGTTCCTCAAAGGATCGCGGAAATTCGTTCTCGCAAAATTTGCCTCAATTGTCTGCGTTCCAACACGCACATCGCTAGCAAATGCACTTCAGGAGGTTGCAAGGTCTGCCAAGCCAAGCATAACACGCTTCTTCATATGACGACCGCCTCGCAGCAAGCGCCTAATTCCTCTAGCTCTTCAGGAAAGGGCAGCGACAACTCCAACTCCGCAGAATCCTCTGCCGTAGTAGCGACACACGTCGCAGGGGGAAGTGTTAACGTCATATTGTCAATGGCCATGGTGCACGCGCGCGATTATCAGGGCGTGCTTCGACCTTGTCGCATTCTGTTGGATTGTGGTTCTCAGGCGAATTTCATATCAAGGAAATTCATGACGAGGCTTGGCCTCACTCCCAAATCACTAAGCGTAGCCATATCCGGCGTGAACGGAACGGTTACGACGGCCACGCAAGCAGTAAAAATCGAATTGCAATCGCGAATAGATTCATACAGTGCTACAATCGATTGTATTGTCTCAGATCAAGTTACAGAAAAACTCCCTGGCATACCGTTAAGGCGAAGGGATTTCGAACTGCCACGAAATATAAAGCTAGCTGATCCACAATTTCACGTATCTTTTGATATCGACATTCTAATAGGAGCCGAAATATTTTGGGATCTTCTCTTTGTAGGACAGATACAATCATCGGACAGGCATCCTAAATTACAAAAAACGAGGTTTGGATGGATCCTAGCAGGACGAATGTTTGATTCAAAATCAATTCACGCAAAGGTACATTCTCTACACGCATCTATAACTAACGAGCAGTTACATGATCAATTAAGTCGGTTCTGGCAATTAGACGACGCGAAAAATGACTCCAATAATTTGACTCCTGAGGAAAGTTATTGTGAGCAGCATTTTATCAGCAATATTCATAAAAATCCACAAGGCAGATACGTGGTCAAACTTCCTATTAGAGATCAATTAATCGACAAGTTAGGAGACTCTCGAAGCATTGCCATGTCTCGTTTGAAGGGCATCGAAAAACGTTTTAAACGACAGCCCGATCTAGAAGAGCAATACAAACAATTATCAATGAGTACATATCGTTAGGGCACATGCAAAAAATAGAATTGCAGCCCGATGAGAGTTCCCCATGTTTTTATTTACCGCATCATTGCGTATTCAAATCTAACAATCAAACGTCAAAGATCCGCGTAGTATTTGACGCTTCATGCAAATCTACCGAGGGCTTATCTTTAAATGATGCACTTATGATAGGGCCAGTAGTGCAGCAAGAGCTAACATCCATACTGATCCGATTTTGTTTCTTCATTTATGTTTTTAGCGCCGACGTAATAAAAATGTATAGACAAGTATTGGTGGATCCTTCTCAAACACGTCTGCAAAGGATACTATGGCGGGACGACCCTGCTAACAACGTCGACACATACGAACTATTGACAGTTACGTATGGAACATCATCAGCTTCATACTTGGCCAGCAGGTGCCTTACTTATCATGCCGATCAATACGCAGCTAAGTACCCGGTAGGCTCTAGAGAGGTGAAACGCAGTTTTTACGTAGATGACTTTTTGTCAGGAGCAGATACTCTGCACGAGGCTAAGGTACTCCGAGATGAACTAATAGAATTGCTGAGAATAGGATCTTTCGAACTCAGTAAGTGGGCGTCGAATTGCCCAGAACTCCTAAAAAATATAAAGGATCGTGATGGGGAAGTAATTACCATTCATAACGAGACAGATTCTAGCATACTAGGGATTCAATGGAATCAAGTCAAGGATGTTTTTCACTTTGCATACAATTCAGATTCCACTAACAGCGCAGTATCTAAGCGCGTTATTCTTTCTGAAGTTTCCAGGTTGTTTGATCCTCTGGGTCTCCTCGGACCCGTCATTGTAATTGCCAAACTCATTCTTCAAGACCTGTGGAAGGCCGGCATCCATTGGGATGAATCTGTGCCGCAGGAATTACATACAAGCTGGCTAAAATTCAAGTCTCAATTACATGCTGTAAATCAGCTACAAATCCCTAGGGGTGTCAAATACAACCCAGACTCACAGCTCGTGCAATTACACGGGTTTTGTGATGCAAGTCAAAATGCATATGGCGCATGTATATATGTACGCACAACCATCGAATCTAGTGAATATCGTTCACAGTTGCTGTGTTCAAAATCCCGTGTGGCACCACTCAAGGCCGTGTCACTGCCAAGACTTGAACTATCGGCAGCGGTTCTGTTAGCTCAACTCATAACTAAGGTGAAAGACTCATTGGGCTCGCCCATGCAAGCATTTCTTTGGTCGGACTCCACCATAGCATTGAATTGGATAGCTTCATCCTCGCGCAACTGGTCAGTATTCGTGGCAAATAGAGTCGGAGAAATTCAAAGGTTGACTCAGATCAGTCAGTGGCGTCACGTCTCCTCTTCCGACAATCCTGCAGACATACTATCCAGAGGCATATATCCGTATGATTTAATCGCATCATCCATGTGGTGGCACGGGCCCAGCTTTCTACAGTTGCATGAAAATCAGTGGCCATCGGGAAGTTTTACATATCCGAGGGAGGATATGCCCGAACAAAGAAGAATAGCCGCGATTGTCGTCAAGCATGACCAATGCATGGTCATCCAGCTATTAACCAAGCATTCAAGTCTAAACAAAATCCTTCGGATCATTGCGTATTGCATGAGATTTTCTAAGAAACGGAATCTCGCGCCAAATAGAACAATATCTTCGTCTGAACTTTTACTTGCAACGGAAATCGTGTGCAGGGCGGTACAAAAACAAGTCTTCTCTAAAGAATACGAAGCATTAAAATTAGGAACAACCATTAATGCAGGCAGCCGTCTATTGCCGTTAACTCCTTTCATGGATAAAGATGACCTAATCCGGGTGGGCGGTAGGCTTAAAAACTCAAACCTAGATTTTGACGCATGCCATCCCATTTTGCTGCCGCGCAATCACGATTTAACACAAAAAATAATTAGACAAGAGCATATTCGGAATATGCACGCCGGAACGCAAGGTACTATGGCCGCCGTCCGGCAACGTTTCTGGCCACTTTCGCTAAGATCCGTAGCGCGAAAGATCATACAAGAATGCGTAACTTGTTTTAAGGCAAAACCGCGATTCTCGGAAGCCTTAATGGGATCATTACCCGCCGGTCGAGTCACCCCATCTAGACCGTTCGCGCATTGTGGGATAGACTATGCCGGTCCAGTCACAATACGCGAAGGAAACAGGCGCAACTCTCGCAATTATAAGGCCTACATAGCCATTTTCGTATGCTTTGCCACTAAAGCCGCGCACATCGAAGTCGTAAGCAATTTAACGACAGACTGTTTTCTTGGTGCATTCAAACGTTTCATCGCGCGAAGAGGGAAACCGACCCACATGTACTCGGATAATGGGACCACCTTCGTCGGGGCAAAAAAGCAAATCAAGGAACTATACGAATTTTATAACAAACAAGAAACGCAGTCCGATCTCAATCAATTCTGTGCCAACGAGGGCATTTGCTGGGAATTCATTCCGCCCAACGCTCCTCATTTTGGCGGTTTATGGGAAGCGGCGGTAAAATCCGCCAAACATCACTTGACTAGAATTGTGGGTCAAGCCCATTTAAATTTTGAAGAACTGCAGACTGTATTGTCTGAGATAGAAGCTATATTAAATTCGCGCCCTATTACGCCACTAAGCGAGGATCCCAACGACTTGTATTATCTTAGTCCGGGTCACTTTCTGGTTGGTACAGCACTAAATAGTTTTCCTTGCAGAGACTTTAGCGAGATCAATGAGAATAGGCTCCTACGATGGCAACGCGTGGAGCAACTTCGACAGCACTTTTGGCGCAGATGGAGTAGCGAGTACTTAGGCTCGTTGCAGGAAAGGTCGAAATGGAAACAAAATTCGGGCATTCAACTACGCGTCAATCAGCTCGTACTTGTAAAACAACAAAATCTACCCCCTCTACAATGGGCTATAGGTCGCGTCTTAGAGATTCATCCCGGATCCGACAATGTAGTACGAACTGCAACTATAAAAATCACCAAAGGTACTTATGTTAGACCATTGTCGAAGCTCGCGATATTACCCTCAGAAATCCAACCGACGGATAACTAATATACGCAACTAACAAGGGACATGTCACAACTGTCCGGAACCGATTTGATTCTCCTTGAAATATGTTGTTAAATACACAAATCTAAAAGACACGTATTTTTTTATACGTGCGCAATTTGAGTTTTAAGGGGTGAAACACCCTTTAAAGAATAACGGTATTTTTCTTTAGGATCAAATATCTGCTAAACTATAAGAGATATAAAGAAAAAACGTACAACAAATTTTAATGGCTTGAAGAGTACTTTAAAGTTATATGAACAAAATTTTTTTTTTTTTTTTTTTTTTTTAAAAAACCCTCACCACCTAATTTTTTTTTTCAAAATTAAAAATTTTGTTTTACCTAATTTAAAGCTTATTTTTTTCCAAATTCAACCATGTGTAATAAAGTTATGTTACGAAATATCATTTTCGAAAATTAATTATAAACGCTCCCGTATATACGCTCATCCGTGCTATGTGCGTAAGTAATTACCGTCGAACAATAAAATATATAAAAAATGTTTTTGTATAATTCTTATTTATGTTTTCTATGTATTTATAACTGTGTATTGTGTATATTTAGATTTTTTTAAAAATGTATTTGCATTTTATATTATTCACTCATTATACACATTACAATAATGATATTCGACAAAAAAATGTTTCAAACATAATGACTTCTTGCACCAAGAACATCTTACTACAGCTATATTATTGCAACCTTCGATATCACATTTTGTTAAAGTTTCGTCTAAACTAAAGTGTACTGGATTTTCGAATTCGTCTGGTCTTTCATTCGTATAACCACTTTTAAACCACGAATATTTAAATAAGTTTTGATATCGTGGGGATGACAATTGATTATGTATCAAAGATTGCAATTTTATTATATTATTTCGTTCATGTAAGTTTATATTACTTTCCAACAGTAAAACCGCATCTGAAAATCTTTTAGCAAAATTTTTCCAAATTCTGAATCCATAAACATCTAATGGTTGTATTTTCCCTGTAGTTCCTTTCGGTATTATCATAGTAGTAATATGTGTTCCAGGAGGTGTTAAATCCGAAATCATATTGGGGCAATGTCCAGTCCATGAATCGATAAGAAGAACGCTATTAGGACCAATGTTTGCGAAATAAGCTTCTTCTAACCACATTTTAAAATGATCTGTACAAAATATAAATGTTAATTTAATAGTTTTTTTATGACTCTTATTAAATTGTTAAATAAAATAAGGTTGTTAAAAAAAGTAATTATAAAAGGAAAATACCTGATGTCATTTTACCAGATTTCGATGCTTTTACAATAACATTTTCTGCTTTAAATAAATTTTCTTGTACTCTTGGTCCAAATTTACCATTAGCTTCTTTTAATACAATAAATAAAGGGGACAACAAATTGCCATTACAGGATATTATTGGTTGTATCGTATGATTGGGTTGTTGATGATATGGATTGCACGACACGTTCTACTTTCTTTTCTCCCTGGTTAGACAATGATCTTCCAGAGTGAAGTTCCAATTGGAAACCACTTTGATCTGAATTGTAAATATTTTCAGATCCAAACTGTTCAATAAGAGGTTTTACTGTCGTCAAGCATCACCAATGCATGCAAATCAGCAGAATCTTCTAATGTTCTTCTAGTGACAAACTTCGTAACTTTTCTTGAAACAATTCGGTGAGACTTCTTAAATCTTGCTATCCAACGTGAGATGCTTTAAATAGAGGATATAATTTCCTATTTCTTCTTAGCTTGTAAAGCCCATCTGTTTAAATCAATACATGAAACAAGTCTTCTCTAAAGTAAACGAAGCATGTAAAATTAGGAACAACCATTAATGCAGGCAGCCGTCTATTTGCCTTAACATCCTTTCATGATAAAGATGACCTAAATTATTTTGTACTAGGCTTAAAAACGAAACCTAGATTTTGTCATTATGCCATCATCAGTTTGCTGCCGCCAATCACGATTTTTTATAAAAACTAATCAAGACAAGAGCATATTTGAATATGCACGCCGGAACGCAAGGTACTATGCCGCCGTCCGGCAACGTTTCTGGCTACTTTTATAAGGATCCATATCGCGAAAGATCATACAAGAATGCGTAACTTGTTTTAAGGAAAACCGCGATTCTCGGAAGCCTTAATGGGATCATTACCCGCCGGTCGAGTCACCCATCTAGACCGTTCGCGCATTGTGGGATAGACTATGCCGGTCCAGTCACAATACGCGAAGGAAACAGGCGCAACTCTCGCAATCATAAGGCCTACATAGCCATTTTCGTATGCTTTGCCACTAAAGCCGCGCACATCGAAGTCGTAAGCAATTTAACGACAGACTGTTTTCTTGGTGCATTCAAACGTTTCATCGCGCGAAGAGGGAAACCGACCCACATGTACTCGGATAATGGGACCACCTTCGTCGGGGCAAAAAAGCAAATCAAGGAACTATACGAATTTTATAACAAACAAGAAACGCAGTCCGATCTCAATCAATTCTGTGCCAACGAGGGCATTTGCTGGGAATTCATTCCGCCCAACGCTCCTCATTTTGGCGGTTTATGGGAAGCGGCGGTAAAATCCGCCAAACATCACTTGACTAGAATTGTGGGTCAAGCCCATTTAAATTTTGAAGAACTGCAGACTGTATTGTCTGAGATAGAAGCTATATTAAATTCGCGCCCTATTACGCCACTAAGCGAGGATCCCAACGACTTGTATTATCTTAGTCCGGGTCACTTTCTGGTTGGTACAGCACTAAATAGTTTTCCTTGCAGAGACTTTAGCGAGATCAATGAGAATAGGCTCCTACGATGGCAACGCGTGGAGCAACTTCGACAGCACTTTTGGCGCAGATGGAGTAGCGAGTACTTAGGCTCGTTGCAGGAAAGGTCGAAATGGAAACAAAATTCGGGCATTCAACTACGCGTCAATCAGCTCGTACTTGTAAAACAACAAAATCTACCCCCTCTACAATGGGCTATAGGTCGCGTCTTAGAGATTCATCCCGGATCCGACAATGTAGTACGAACTGCAACTATAAAAACCACCAAGGGTACTTATGTTAGACCATTGTCGAAGCTCGCGATATTACCCTCAGAAATCCAACCGACGGATAACTAATATACGCAACTAAGATGCAATCTCACGTAATAGTCACGACGCGAATATTTAGCTATTAAGATATATCATAGGAAAATTTATATTCATGTCTTCCTTTCTATAGTAATTTAGTTTAATTTGCAAACAAATATATATTATTATAGTTTATAGGATACTGTAATCACTATTTATAAGAGTACTAAACTCACGAAGTGTTATCAGTCATGGTTTATATTCTGTTGCGTTATTATCTTTATTTTATTGTACTGATAAGTCTTATATGTTTGCCTTGCGGCTCATTCTTTCTTCTATTCATTTTGAAAGCGCATTCTTTCAAGGCGGGCGGCGTTTGTTTGGTATTCAATAAACTATTTACGCGTATCGCCCGGTCAATCTACCCGCTCGAATTCGGGTACCCGCACATATATATGTCAGGTCCTTCGTCGTTGCCTTCGGAGGCTTCCGTTGCCGATCGCGACCCATCGTGCGCGGTCCCCGCTAATACGAATCAGAATCGTCTCAGAGACAACGAGAGACACACGTGCGGCCGACTTAACCGCTATTGTATACCATTATACGCTGTATTTCAATTAAAGCATTTATACTTTGTATCTCGAGTGCGGTCACTACCTTCTGAGTTTTTCAATAAATATAAGCAAGTGAGAGAGAAACATTCTCGGTCGTATATTCGTGAAGCACTCATTCCACGACAACATACGACGGGCACACGCCCGATAATTCAACTTACGTACAACCCGTACACATCAGTTACCGCAATATTACCTTTAGGCTGATTCAAAAGTACAAATGATATAATACATTTACATAATACATTATATAATACATTTACATTTGCTTCATTTGTATATTTGAATGTTTTGCCAACCTACTTCTCCTTCTTCATTGAAATATCTGCAAAATTCTTCTCAAATGTGAGCTGCGCGTAACGAATATGCTCTCGCTTGAGTACATCTTATATCCATAAATCCTTGATAATCGTTAACATTGTTTCTCCAAGAGCCATCTTCAATGTCTCCGTCTAATACAGATCGATCTGCAAGATCCTGTGTTATATACGTTTCTCGCTCAACATCACGCTTTCTCAGCCAATTATGAAGACAAATTATTGCTTGAACCATTTTTATTGCCTTTGAAATGTTCGCTATAATTGGTCGTCTTAGAAGGCGCCATTGATTAGCTAAGATACCGAACACATTTTCGACTGTTCGACGAGCTCGAGATAAACGATAATTGTATATCCGTTTCTCTAATGTCATTCCATTTCTTCCTGGATATGGTCGCATCATATATTCTGTTAAAGGAAATGCCTCGTCTCCTACCAATACATATGGCAAAATTGGACCGTTGTCATATAGTGCTTCAGGAGGTGGAATATTTAATTCTTTTCTTTCTAATAATAAGCCCATAGCACTATTCTTAAAAACGCCTGCATCACCCTGTCTTCCAGGAGCATCAATGTCTACACAGCGTATGATGTAATTTGCATCACTTATTGCGAGTAAAATAATGCTGTGACTGTCTTTATAATTATAATATTCTGATCCTGCGTTGTCAGGACACTGAAATAATATTAAGTAAAATTAAACTGCTTCAGTTTGAGTTATATATATATTCATTTACATATTTTTGTCATTTTAAGAATTACTTGAATAATGACGTGTTTTCCATCAATTGCACCAATACAATGAGGGAATTGCCATTTATTATCAAAGTCATTTGCAATTTCTTTCCAGTCATTTGTGTCACATTGTGCAAGTATAATAGGATATAAACGCTCCCATAAGACAGAACATGTTTCACGTATAATATTTGAAATACTACTTACAGATATTAAAAATTGATATGACAAAGATGTCATACTGTCTCCTGAGGCGAGATATCTATTAATGAGTATAAGAAATATATAATATATACTTTGCTATTTTACATTGTCAGAGAGATTTTTTGTTATCACACATTATTACAATAATATAGTTTAAGTTTACAAGTATACATGCCTTAAAGTAACTAATAAACGTTGCTCTTCATTTATAGGTTCACGCACAACATAAAGTTTCTTTAAATCATGTCCTACTATTAACAACAAATCTTCCAATTATATCGTAGTCATTCTTGTAAAATTTCTAAAACGCAGATCTTCCAGCCTTACATTGGGCAATGTTGCGTGATACAATCCGTGTCTCTGCCTTTCGGCAAATATTTTTGACACCCAGAATTTCCTCTTCTTTTTATTGTTTGCATTTATTATATTGACTATTGCTGGTATCGCTGCAATTAATTCAACTTTTCTTTGTTCGTTATATTCATGATTGATAATGCTATTGCATTCTAACAACCATTGATGATAACGATAATTAATCGACATTTTTTTAATGTTTCGCAATTTAAATGACAGTAATAATCAACTGACTGCTCTAATTGATCCTGCGTTTCAGCATCAAATCACTAGGCATCACTACGCATGCTCATACCTTTCGACGCTCGACGCTCGACGCTCCTATGTAAAGGCACCTTTAGATAACTATTTTAGCATTTGTAAACATTCCGTTTTTTTTACTTCTGCTTTTGTCAATATAAAAAATTTCTATAAAGCCATAATGTGTATTTATTTATGATGAATTTCAAATAATTATCCTTAGATTGGACCAGTATTCTTGCCAGAAAAATTAAATGGTTTAAATTATCTGGACTTTTTGCGTAATGAGTTGCCAAATTTACTTTTTCCTCCCGCTGCTATCGACGATATGCCGCTATTTCGACGTAACATCATTTTTATGCATGATGGATGTCTAGCGTACAATGCAGGTTACAATTATTATAAATTATTAAACATATTTGAAAACATAATTTGTTTTAATAAAAATTTTCAGGTCTCAATTAAATAACAAATTAATGCAAAGTTTAAATTTTTTTAGTACAACTTATAAAGAATTTACAACTATTAGTATTAGTTTGCAATATGTTTTTTATATCATAAAATACTAGCTTCTGAGAGTTTTTAAACTTCTGATTTTTAATAAACACATGACGCTTTGCTATTATTTTAATGTTTGTATTTTCGCAATTTTTTGTTTTAAAGAAGTTTTATTTTATACGGATAAATATTGTTTTTCGTAGATTAAAATTATGTTTGACTAAAAAGTGCATAAAATACCGTAAATCAATGCAATAACAACAATTTTTTATTTATTCAAATATACTTTTCAATCGATTTTTATTTCGCATAAATAATTTTTATATTAATTCAATTTTCTAATTGAAATTTTTTATAAATATCATTAATTACTGGTTCTAAAATTGTTTTAATTAATTATTTAATTTTAATTAATTATTAATTTTATTGTTTTAACTATAACAGCACCTGTCCGAGAATACTTAAATAATACGTATGGAAATAATTGGATGGGTCGTGGAGCACCTTTCTGGCAATGGCCACTAAGATCACCAGATTTGAATCCTTGTGATTTTTTCTTGTGGGGTGCGCAGAAAGAAAAAATTTATTTTAACCGCATAGAAACGCAAGACGAATTAGAAGAACGAATACGAAGAGCGTTTGCTACCGTACAGCGCGGGCCAGAATCCCGAAAACGTGGCCAAAAGTAAAAAAAAAATTTTTGATTTTATGAAATGTGACTATTGGATTTTGTAGAGGACTGTACCCCCCACCTCATGCTGAAATACCAAAGATCACATTTCTGTACATAAAACTCTAGCTCAGTTCAAAGTTGACCTTCGCACTGAACAGTTGTGGCAGTCGCAGTTAACCGAAATTTCACCGCTCTGGTCTAACGTTAATATTTCAAGGATAAAGTGTTCAAATTAAATCGTGCAAAATGGATTGTGTTCCTGGTGGTATGTACAACAAAACAAAACGATAATATTATATAAATATGTGTTACATATGTTGTTTTTTTAAAATCGAACTTTGGTCTGTACAATACAATGTATTTTGGAGAAATTAAATTTTCACCGAACGAAATAGTTATGTATACCACCGCATTCCAAGGTCGGATTGGTAAAATCTTTTAAATTAAACCTTCCTCTTTCGAATCGTGCAATTTCTAGCTGCCCGTAGCTGCCCGTGTAAAAATGCGATAAAGTTTTGTAAAGCGTTACGCGTTATTTGTTTCGGTATCGAATGCTGTGCCAAGCATTTTAATATAGGTGAATCGCGCCGTACATTTTCTGTCCGTTAAAATTTTTGTTCCAAGGGTCTGCTATTATCTCGCATTGTGTCTAAGGCTTTAGATTCTCCAGAAAGTACAGTACCATCCAAAAGTTTAGTAGAAATACAACTATTTTTCTGCCACATACATTTCTTTATAATTTGTAACTACAAATGCTATTATATTACCATTCGTTTTTATAGTATTACAATAATTTATAACAATATTAATTTATAATTATATAAATAAAATTAGATAAGTCAAAGGCAAGAGCCACCATTCACAAATTGTTTGCAAAAAAGGAAAAAAAACGAAAATTTAATATGTAATTACATTATACAATACAAACAAATTTAATATGTAATTCCATTATATTATACAAATTGATCGCCTATTATAATTACAAAATAATCGCTTATCATTAATCTAGTATAAATACGAAATATATATATTATCGTGGTTAGTGGTGATTTTATGTGTAGATATTACCAAAGGCAGCCCAGATCTTTTATTAACATCAGATCGGTGTTCTTTAATTTGTCCCACATACGAAACATCACAATCATTACAATTTATTTTATAAACATCACAATTATTACAATTTATTTTATATCTACTGAAGATGATCCGAAAAAAGGATCGAAACGTTTAAAAGAATGATTAATATTTTTACTAATTAATTTGTTGTAGATAATATATATATTTTGTATTTATACTAAATTAATGATAAGCGATTATTTTGTAATTATAATAGACGATCAAATTGTGTAATATAATAGAATTACATATTAAATTTGTTTGTATTGTATAATGTAATTACATATAAAATTTTCG